TGCCTGCACCCTGAATGATGAGTGAGGATATTACAGTCCTGGAGGTGGGAAGAAGAGTGCCTGTACTCTGAAGGATGAGTGAGGATATTACAGTCCTGGAGATGGGAAGAAGAGTGCCCACACTCTGAAGGATGAGTGAGGATATTACAGTCCTGGAGGTGGGAAGTAGAGTGCCTGCACCCTGAAGGATGAGTGAGGATATGACAGTCCTGGAGGTGGGAAGCACAGTGCCTGCACCCTGAAGGATGAGTGAGGATATTACAGTCCTGGAGGTGGGAAGTAGAGTGCCTGCACCCTGAAGGATGAGTGAGAATATTACAGTCCTGGAGGTGGGAAGTAGAGTACCTGCACTCTGAAGGATGAGTGAGGATATTACAGTCCTGGAGGTGGGAAGTAGAGTGCCTGCACCCTGAAGGATGAGTGAGAATATTACAGTCCTGGAGGTGGGAAGTAGAGTACCTGCACCCTGAAGGATGAGTGAGAATATTACAGTCCTGGAGGTGGGAAGTAGAGTACCTGCCCCTGAAGGATGAGTGAGAATATTACATTCCTGGAGGTGGGAAGTAGAGTACCTGCACCCTGAAGGATGAGTGAGAATATTACAGTCCTGGAGGTGGGAAGTAGAGTACCTGCACCCTGAAGGATGAGTGAGAATATTACAGTCCTGGAGGTGGGAAGTAGAGTACCTGCACCCTGAAGGATGAGTGAGAATATTACAGTCCTGGAGGTGGGAAGTAGAGTACCTGCACTCTGAAGGATGAGTGAGAATATTACATTCCTGGAGGTGGGAAGTAGAGTACCTGCACCCTGAAGGATGAGTGAGAATATTACAGTCCTGGATGGGGGGAAGTAGAGTACCTGCACCCTGAAGGATGAGTGAGAATATTTCAGTCCTGGAGGTGGGAAGTAGAGTACTGCACCCTGAAGGGATGAGTGAGAATATTACAGTCCTGGAGGTGGGAAGTAGAGTACCTGCACCCTGAAGGATGAGTGAGAATATTACAGTCCTGGAGGTGGGAAGTAGAGTACCTGCACCCTGAAGGATGAGTGAGAATATTACAGTCCTGGAGGTGGGAAGTAAGAGTACCTGCACCCTGAAGGATGAGTGAGAATATTACAGTCCTGGAGGTGGGAAGTAGAGTACCTGCACCCTGAAGGATGAGTGAGAATATTACAGTCCTGGAGGTGGGAAGTAGTGTACCTGCACCCTGAAGGATGAGTGAGAATATTACAGTCCTGGAGGTGGGAAGTAGAGTACCTGCACCCCGAAGGATGAGTGAGAATATTACAGTCCTGGAGGTGGGAAGTAGAGTACCTGCACCCTGAAGGATGAGTGAGAATATTACAGTCCTGGAGGTGGGAAGTAGAGTACCTGCACCCTGAAGGATGAGTGAGAATATTTACAGTCCTGGAGGTGGGAAGTAGAGTACCCGCCCCCCTGAAGGATGAGTGAGAATATTACAGTCCTGGAGGTGGGAAGTAGGGGTACCTGCACCCTGAAGGATGAGTGAGAATATTACAGTCCTGGAGGGTGGGAAGTAGAGTACCTGCACTCTGAAGGATGAGTGAGAATATTACAGTCCTGGAGGTGGGAGTAGAGTACCTGCACCTGAAGGATGAGTGAGAATATTACAGTCCTGGAGGTGGGAAGTAGAGTACCTGCACCCTGAAGGATGAGTGAGAATATTACAGTCCTGGAGGTGGGAAGTAGAGTACCTGCACCCTGAAGGATGATGAGAATATTACAGTCCTGGAGGTGGGAAAGTAGAGTACCTGCACCCTGAAGGATGAGTGAGAATATTACAGTCCTGGAGGTGGGAAGTAGAGTACCTGCACCCTGAAGGATGAGTGAGAATATTACAGTCCTGGAGGTGGGAAGTAGAGTACCTGCACCCTGAAGGATGAGTGAGAATATTACAGTCCTGGAGGTGGGAAGTAGAGTACCTGCACTCTGAAGTTTGAGTGAAGATGTTACAGCTCAGGTCAACTGAACTATAATGTCAGTACACTTCTGACAACACAACAATTAAACTAATGTGTTTCTTCAATTTTAGCCAGTGTGCTAAAAAAAGTGAACTGTCAATATTAGTGTAGAAAAGACATGGATGCAAATCAAGTTTTTGTGGCAACATTTCACTCTAAAAAGGGTGATTCATCACAATAACAATAAAAGCTTGATGTATGCATGTGTTGTTTCTACCCTAATTTGTGTTGTGTATCAATATTTGTTGTGTTGGGTATCAATATTTGTTGTGTTGGGTATCAATATTTGTTGTGTTGGGTATCAATATTTGTGGTGTTGGGTATCAATATTTGTTGTGTTGGGTATCAATATTTGTTGTGTTGTGTATCAATATTTGTTGTGTTGGGTATCAATATTTGTTGTGTTGGGTATCAATATTTGTTGTGTTGGGTATCAATATTTGTTGTGTTGTGTATCAATATTTGTTGTGTGGTGCATCAGTATTTGTTGTGTGGTGCATCAATATTTCCACTATGTATTAATATCTGCATTGCTTTGTGTATGAATATTTATAAGATCTTGGGATCAGTATTTGTCCTATGTCAAGATGTCTAAATTATAATTTGCACTTAATTAAAATGTCTAAAAAATTAATTTCTAAAAGGTCATAAAAATTCAATGCATACAGTTCTAAAAGGTGTTTGATTAGTATATTATGATAACAAAAGCAATTTGAGTGTGGTTGCCCATGCACTTCTGGAAAGACAGTCAGGGACTGAGTGATGGTGAATGTGTCTTTTTTGGGGGTCACGAACAATCGAGTTAAAAAAAAAAAGCAAGCAATAAATGCAGCCTCTTTATGAGCAACTTGATATTTACAGCATCGGAGGAACTTAGCATATACAGTGGACCCCCGGTTAACGAACTTTTTTCATTCCAGTAGTATGTTCAGGTGCCAGTACTGACCGAATTTTTTCCCATAAGGAATATTGTGAAGTAGATTAGTCCATTTCAGACCCCCAAACATACACGTACAAACGCACTTACATAAATACACTTACATAATTGGTCGCATTTGGAGGTAATCGTTAAGCGGGGGTCCACTATACTGTACAGGTGCTCCTTGACTTACGATGAATTGACAATAGTTTGATTTTGCAGTGGTTCAACTTACAACATTTCAACTTTCCAATGGTTTGACTTGCAATATTTTGATTTTACAATGGTTCAACTTACAACATTTCAACTTTCCAATGGTTTGACTTGCAATATTTTGATTTTAACAATGGTTCAACTTACAACATTTCAACTTTCCAATGGTTTGACTTGCAATATTTTGATTTTACAATGGTTCAACTTACAACATTTCAACTTTCCAATGGTTTGACTTGCAATATTTTGATTTTACAATGGTTCAACTTACAACATTTCAACTTTACAATGGTTTGACTTGCAATATTTTGATTTTACAGTGGTTCAACTTACAACATTTCAACTTTACAATAGTGCAGAAGCAATTACTCTGGAGATGAAACTTGAGAAAGTTACTCAGCATGAAGCCAGGAAGTCCATAACTTGTATACATTTTATTACTTTTCAATATTGATATTTAGTTACAGTAATTATTTGTTTATTTACTTATTCAGTGACAGTATTTATTTATTTATTTAGCATATCAAATACATTTTTGACTTACGATATTTTCAACTTACGATGGGTTCGTTGGAACATGATTCCATCATAAGTCGAGGAGCATCTGTATACAGTGGACCCCTGGTTTATGATCACCTCCCAATGCGACCAATTATGTAAGGGTATTTATGGAAGTGCATTTGTACGTGTATGTTTGGGGGTCTGAAATGGACTAATCTAATTCACAACATTCCTTATGGGAACAAATTCAGTCAGTACTGGCACCTGAACATACTTCTGCAATGAAATAATATCCTAAACCGGGGGTCCACTGTATATATATAACATATCAAAAGTATATATTTCCAGTACATTTACAGTGCAGCAAATGTGCAGAATATATTAAGAGTATTATTTTCATGCAACTTTATGGGGCTGAGGTAATAAATTGTTACAAAAGCTAAACAGTGATTCTTTAGTTAACAGCTTAGTAAAATTAGCAAAACTCAACCTATCCTCCTTAGCAAGCGGTAATTTACTGTGACTCAAGGCCCACTATGTTTCTCTTGTAACTAAGTAACTTGTATCTTCCTCTACTCAATCACTCCACAAAACTAAAGATCAATGACTCAGTTTGTAACAGTAAGTTATACTTTCAAATTGTACCAATTGTTTACTATCTACCTTTCTTATGGTATATATGATTGTAGTTAACTGTATAAGAAGTCCTACTTAATAGTCTATGTCTAAATCTTATGTCACACTCTATTATGTGCCAATAATTTAAGGGATCCTCAGGCTAGTGCACTCTCCAGCTCCAGGACTCAAGTCTGGCTAACCAGTTTTCCTGAATCCTTTCACAAAATATTATCTTGCACATACACTAACAACTCATGAAATCCCAAAAGCCATTTGTCTCCACTCGTATCTAAAACACTCACATATGCCTGCTGTATGTCCAAGCCCCTTGCACACAAAACCTTCTTTACCCCCTCCCTCCATCCTTTCCTAGTATGACCCCTACCCCTACACCAATAAGGGCAATAATGTATAAAGGTAGGGTTATGCATCAATAAGCAAACAGTAGCTTTAAGAAGAGAGGTATGATAAGGTTCTTGGAACTGGAAGTGTGTGGACTCAGTAGTGACCAGTGAAGAGGCAGGGTCAGGAGCTATGACTCAACCCCTGCCACCACTTATAGATGAGTAAACATGGAAGCACTGAGAGTCAAATTCTCAAGTTCACATTATAGTAACTATCAGTCACATTATTGGTGTTTTTGAGTCACAATAACATACCAATATTTGCTTAGGAGTATAGGTTACAATTTCCTTAAAATTTTTAAGTGCTTTGAGTACACATTTATAGGAAACCTTCCTTGGAGGAAATCAGCACTAATTCTTACCTTTGCTATGAGATCCTTTGCTCTGGATTCAAACAAATGCTCGAGTTTCTGAGTATCGATGGGAATGTGTTCGATCTTATCCCATACGGTCGTGTTGTGTATTCGTGGGTCTTCTCGAACCTATGAAAATTATGGAATGCTAAAATTAACAAGTTAAAAATTGCCAACCACATGAAGTCAATGCAGAAAAACAGAAAATAAAAAAATTGTAGGCCTCTACCTGTTACAGGCAGGCCTACTTGACAGCATTTAGCTTTACCACATTTCACTAATGCAGGAGTTATTATACTCATTCTTCATTTATTCAGACTCCCTACAATAAATATATTCACCACTCACTATAGGCTAAGAACAAAAATATTTTAAGGTCAGTAAGTACAGTGTATTGTATTTTTGTAAGTGTATTTTTGTAAGTGTATTTTTGGTGGTCTGAAATGGACTAATCTAATTTACATTATTTCTTGTGGGAACAAATTCGTTCAGTATCAGCACTCGAAGAACCTTCTGGAACGAATTAAGTTCGTAACTCGAGGTACCACTGTATATGAATATTTTAGACCTAGTTCTATTTCTCACTTAATATGAGAGTGTAAACATATTATCAGGCTGTGTTTCTCTTTACAGTGATTTTTGCTCTACAGCAATATCCCAGAACCTGACCTGCTGTATAAGTGGGGCCCTGCTGTATAAGTGGGGCCCTGCTGTATAAGTGGGGCCCTGCTGTATAAGTGGGGCCCTGCTGTATAAGTGGGGCCCTGCTGTATACGTGGGGTTAGTTTAATTAGTTTAATATGTTTATTATGCACCCCATACCCATCCTGTGGGCGGTAGTCAAAAGATTACAGAGGTACATAATTGGTCCAGGGACTGGACTCCAAAGTTTTGATAGCTGAGCAAGTTACAGAGGTAATGAATTCACAATTTACAAAGGTAATGAACTCACAAATTACAAAGGTAATGAACTCCAGGTAGGTCTAGTCACAATCATGGCAAGTTACAAAGGTATTTACAGATTACAGAGGTACGTAATGGGTCCAGGGACCGGGCTCCAAAGTTTTGATGGCTGAACTAGGTACAAGGTAATGAACTCACAAGTTACAAAGGTAATGAATATTGTAAGAATGGTTACTTACGTTTATACATGGCTACAATCATGAACAAATTATAGTGTAATGAGCAATTCACACTTCCACACCCGGTCACAACTGTAGTGAGTTATTGGTGCAAATATTGATTGTTGAGTCACACACACACAAAAACACACACACACAAACACACACACACACACACACACACACACACACACACCACACACACACATATAAATTCATACACACACACACACACAAACTCATACACACACATGCACACACACCCATACACACACACTCATACACATACAAATGCACACACAAACACACACACACACACACACACACACACACACACACCACACACACACACACACACACACACACACACACACACACACAAACACACACACACACACACACACACACACACATCAATCAGATAACTGCTGCAGCATATGGGCGCCTGGCAAACCTGAGAACAGCATTCCGACACCTTAGTAAGGAATCATTCAAGACACTGTACACCGTGTATGTCAGGCCCATACTGGAGTATGCAGCACCTGTTTGGAACCCGCACTTGATAAAGCACGTCAAGAAACTAGAGAAAGTACAAAGGTTTGCAACAAGGTTAGTTCCAGAGCTAAGGGGAATGTCCTATGAAGAAAGATTAAGGGAAATCGGCCTGACGACACTGGAGGACAGGAGGGTCAGGGGAGACATGATAACGACATATAAAATACTGCGTGGAATAGACAAGGTGGACAAGGACAGGATGTTCCAGGGAGGGGACACAGAAACAAGAGGCCACAATTGGAAGTTGAAGACACAAATGAGTCAGAGAGATAGTAGGAAGTATTTCTTCAGTCATAGAGTTGTAAGGCAGTGGAATAGCCTAGAAAATGACGTAGTGGAGGCAGGAACCATACACAGTTTTAAGACGAGGTTTGATAAAGCTCATGGAGCGGGGAGAGAGAAGGCCTAGTAGCAACCGGTGAAGAGGCGGGGCCAGGAGCTAGGACTCGACCCCTGCAACCACAAATAGGTGAGTACAAATAGGTGAGTACACCACACACACACACACACACACACGTGGTAATGCTTTATTTACAGCTAGCAAAGTCAGGGTATTTCTCCAGAATGGTCTGCAATATACCACTGTGGATAAAATACTTTGCCATTTCTTGAACATTTCTGAGTGAGTTGTTTCTAAATTCATTAATTTTATCGCACTCCAGTACATAATGATGCAGGGTGTGACAATAATCCATCTGGCAAAGTTTACATTTCGTTTGGTCTACATCTGGTGGTGGTGATTTAACCTGCCAAAGATACTTGTAACCCAGCCGGAGCCGGGCAGTAGTGACATCCAAGAGTCTGCTTATTTTGTTGGATGCACCATAGACATGTGGCTCCTCCTGCATGATAGAGTGATGATAGGTGGACTCACTGGTGTCAATCTCCCTGAGCCTTAAGTCCATAAAATTCAGTTAAGATAAGATAAGATAAGATTTCGTTCGGATTTTTAACCCCGGAGGGTTAGCCACCCAGGATAACCCAAGAAAGTCAGTGCGTCATCGAGGACTGTCTAACTTATTTCCATTGTGGTCCTTAATCTTGTCCCCCAGGATGCGACCCACACCAGTCCACTAACACCCAGGTACCTATTTGCTGCTAGGTGAACAGGACAACAGGTGTAAGGAAACGTGTCGGAATGTTTCCACCCGCCGGGAATCGAACCCGGGCCCTCCGTGTGTGAAGCGGGAGCTTTAGCCACCAGGCCACCGGGACACCTGTTGAAGTTCTTTTCGTATTATTGTTCTCAAACTACTACCTGACAAGCCAAGATTGTAATCTACTCCCTCTTTGAAAGCATACAGCTTAGCCAATTTATCAGTTCTATCATGCATCTGAAGACCAATGTGAGATGGAATCCACAGCATGTGCACTCTGACTCCATTGTCCACAATCCTACCCTACCTGTGTCTGGCTTCTGACACAAGCATGCCACAATTTATGCTTAATGAGTGGGGCCCTCCTGTATAAGTGGGGCCCTCCTGTATAAGTGGGGCCCTCCTGTATAAGTGGGGCCCTCCTGTATAAGTGGGGCCCTCCTGTATAAGTGGGGCCCTCCTGTATAAGTGGGGCCCTCCTGTATTTAGTGAATGCCTCATTGGCTCTTCATTAGTTAGAAAAAATAAACAAAAATTTGTGACACACTACTTGTTATTTAGTAAATGTCTCCCTGAATCTTCATTGGTTAGAAATGAAAAAAAAAAAAATTGTGAGCCACTACCTATATAGTGAATGTCTCCCCGAGTCTTCATTAGTTAATACTAAGTGAGGTTGCTCATCAGAAAAAGATTCTCTCTAATTTGTGCTATAGGGAAAATGAGAAACCATGGGACAACAAGACTTCCTCTTCATTTTGCGTACTATTAGTAAGTACCAAAGTTCACTTACAGCCATAACATGTTCTTTTGTTAAAGAACTTATAACTGGAGCCAGAGGTGTATAATAAAATGTAGTGAAAGTGTTAAGGACATATTAAAGATTGAAGACTCTGGATTATTAAGCCAGAGGCCAGGATAACTAACTCCTCAGTATCTGTTTACTGCCAGATGAATATTGGCAGCAGGTGGGTGTAAGAAAACTTGCCCTTACATCCTGGACCATGTTCAGTATCATGACAACCAACAGATACATTCTGGACTTTTGAAGCAGTAGTCCTGGGAATGTTTTACATATATATACAAGTACATTATAGGGTGTGCAGTTTTTAGATTATGGTACTTCTTGTGTAGTAATTTAGTATGCTCTGTTAGCACAGCGAGAAAGAAAGAAACCAAAATGAACTAATTTTCTTTTTTTCAACAAATCGGCCGTATCCCACCGAGGCGGGGTGGCCCTAAAATAAAAATGAAAGTTTCTCTTTTTAAATTTAGTAATTTATACAGGAGAAGGGGTTACTAGCCCCTTGCTCCCAGCATTTTAGTCGCCTCTTACAACACGCATTGCTTGATGAAAAAGATCCTGTTCCACTTCCCCATGGAGATAAGAGGAAATAAACAAGAACAAGAACTAATAAGAAAATAGAAGAAAACCCAGAGGGGTGTGTATATATATGCTTGTACATGTATGCGACACCTAAGTGTAAGTAGAAGTAGTAAAATGTACCTGAAATCTTGCATGCTTATGAGACAGAGAAAAGACACTAGCAATCCTACCATCATGTAAAACAAGTACAGGCTTCTGTTTTACACTCACTTGGCAGGACGGTAGTACCTCCCTGGGTGGTTGCTGTCTACCAACCTACTACCTAGAACAAACTATCTTTTTTTTTTTTATTAACACATCGCCTATTCCCACTAAGGCAGGGTGGCCCAAAAAAGAAAAACTTTCATCATTCACTCCATCACTGTCTTGCCAGAGGGGTGCTTTACACTACAGTTATAAAACTGCAACACCCCTCCTTCATAGTGCAGACACTGTACTTCCCTTCCTCGAGTTATATTATCACTAATTCATTCACCAATGTTAAAACTAACCTCCTTCCAAAACAGCTTGATTGTTTTCTTTGTTTTTTTAATTTTCAACTGAGATGATTCTTGTGACTGAGAATCCTCAACAGAAGATGGAGGTGCCGGTGGTGCAGGAGGAGCTGGTGGCATTCCCGGGGCTGGTGGAACACCTGATGGTGGTGGTGGGGGCGGTGGAGCTCCAGGTGGTAATGGAACCCCTACAGGTGGTGGAGGTGGTGGTGGAGGAACACCTGGTGTCTGTGTTTCTGTTATGAGTCTGTCATCGTCGCTTGTCAGATCTGTGAAGTCCAAGTCACACAGAGTAAGGGGCGGTTTAAGTGCTTTATTAAGAGTTCCCACTGAATGTCGTTCTCAGATTTCTTAGGTGATAAGACTTCCTTTATTTTAGTGATCCTCTCATTAATGTCACCTTTACGTCCCTGTTTGTCACCTTCGCTGACTTGACCACTACTGGAATTGATCATCTTCTCTTGCAGCTCCTGAAGAAAGTCATACATTTAACAATTGAATCACACATTCGAAATAAACATTAAGCACAATAAATAAAATAAATAATCAGATATGGGTTGATCTATTTATAGTGTAGTTATTATATAGAGAAGGAATGAAGAAATTTGGGAATTTTTTTTTTTTTTTTATAAAAGTCAGCCCGCCACCCAGGCGGGGGGACCAAAAGGGGGGGAAACCCCCACAGGGTACCCACCATAACCACTTACCCACCACTAAACAGGAGGTGAAAGAGGGGGAAAGGAGGGTGAAAGGCAGGGGGCCCAAGCAGTAACCCAAAGGGGGTGAAAAGGCGGGGGGAAAGAAGGGGGACCCCCCGAGGCAGGGGGCCCCCCGGGGGGGGTTACCCCCCAAGGGGGGGAACCCACCAGCGGGCCCAAAAAAAAAAATTCCCAAACAAAAAATACTTTTTACAAATTTAAATAACTAAACTAAAGGTATTTTAAAAGATAAAGAAAATGTCAGGTTTTTTCAAAAAACAAGAAAAGGAGAAGAAATTTTTAAGTTTGGGGGTTTATAATTTTAAAGTTCGGGATCCTTCTTTACAAAGGGACCCCCAAACAGTCCAATTCAGGGCCCCAAAAAATTTTCTCCCGGGCCCCCCTCTTTCGTTTAATAACAAACAAAATAATAAGTGACCGATTCTAACAACCCCAAGGAAAATGAAATTAAATGGTTGTATTTTAGTTTGGGTTCCCCCGAAAGGAAACCCAAACACTAAATTCGAAAAATCTTCAGTTTCCCTCTTCCCTTGGAATTTAAAAAAGAAACTGACATGTGATGTCTTAATCTGAAATTCCCTTAAACACAAACATAAATTCATACATGAAATTTAATGTATGACACGAATGTTATGAAAAATAATAAACCTCCAACAGGGGAAAGGGGCGGGTGAAAGTAATGGCGATTGGGTGAGAGAAAAGCTTTTTTTTTTTTCCGTGAATAATCAAAGGACTTCGTCCATTGTTTCTGAATCAACTGAAACAGTAGATTTTGTCCCATATTTCCACTTCTGTAATAATGTAAAATAATGAATAATTATAATCTACTCCATAACCTATGTCTAGTTTTAAGAAGTGTGTCAGCATTAGGATTAGTTTGCTTGAAATGCTCAGGCATGTTAGTGGCTTTCTTTGTACTTAACCTTTAAACTGTCCAAATGTAAATCTATGTTCACATGCGTAGCGCTCCGAACGTAGATCTACGTTTTTTTTATACGCTTTCAAAAGGAGAGAATAAAGGTTGAAGCGCTATGCATGTGAACGTAGATCTACGTTTGGACAGTTTAAGGGTTAACAATATTTTATTACATGTAAATCACACATTGTATACTATGCAAAGAAATAAAAATTTGAACCTGAATAATTTGTAGGCTTAGTGTACATAGATGAGGTAGCCTTTCATACAGTACCTGTAAACTTACTAGACTATAACCCAACTAATTACTTCTTATAATCATGTACAATGATATGTCCTTGTGGTCTTAAGTTAGGCTGAAGCTCACCCGAAATACAGTGGACCCCCGGTTAACGATATTTTTTCACTCCAGAAGTATGTTCAGGTGCCAGTACTGACCGAATTTGTTCCCATAAGGAATATTGTGAAGTAGATTAGTCCATTTCAGACCCCCAAACATACACGTACAAATGCACTTACATAAATACACTTACATAATTGGTCGCATTCGGAGGTGATCGTTATGCGGGGGTCCACTGTACTCTGCTTAACTACAAGCTTTCAACATGCACTCAAGTGTTGCCCATTACTGTATAAAGACTTAACAAATCAAAATTTTAATTAGTAACTTTTGCAAAGAAATAAAAATCTTTATTCTTTATTCTTATTTTACTCTTTATACACAGCAGCATATGTGTAGAGAACCTAAGATAACCCAAACAAGTCTGACAAAGTGACTTATTTCCATTGGGAAATAAGAAAGAAAAGAACAACATTTATATAGAGATGAGTGACATTTAGGTGTGCATGCAGACGGCTCATTTTTACACAGAGCATTTCAGGCAAACTTAAACCTTGCTTAAGACTTAAAGGACATATGCAACAGCAGCAAGTAATGTACTGTAAATACCTTAACTGAAGCTCCCGAATTAATCTCAATTGGTAGACGCATGTTGTTATCAACATTTTCTTTATCTTGAAGACTGGATATTCTTGATGCAATATTTTGTATGTTGCTTAAGGATTCTCTGCGGCCCGTGCCTTCTTCATCGTCTCGTTTACCATACATCATGTTCATCATCCATGACGCTTGCTTCTTTAAACCAGAGATTTCACAATTTTTTCTATTTTCATCCTCCACATTGCTGCTGTGAAAAATAAAATAACTAAATAAAATCATAACAGAACTTAGATTCTCTTTATCAATGAAGAAAATATAAGGAGATTAATTGTCGATTATTTTTTTGCATATATGCCTCACAATTTTTCCATTTTCTAACATGTATATCTTTTTTCAGCATGCAGGCCGTCTCCCACCGAGGCAGGGTGACCCAAGAAAGAAAAACTCTTTCACCATCATTCAATACTTTCACCATCATTCAATACTTTCACCATCATTCATGCATAATCACTGTCTTTGCAGAGGTGCCCAGATATGACAGCTTAGATGTCACTCCAAACATTCAATATCCCAAACCCCTCCTAGAAAGTGCAGGCGTTGTACTTGCCACCTCTAAGACTCAAGTCTGGCTAACTGGTTTCCCTGAATCCCTTCACAAAATATTACCCTGCTCACACAACAGCTTGTCAGGTCCCAAAAATCATTCATCTCCATTCGCTCCTATCAAACAACCTCATACATGCCTGCTGCATGTCCAGGTCCCTTGCACACAAAACCTCCTTTGTCCCTCCCTCCATCCTTTCCTAAAATGATTCCTACCCCTCCTCCCGTTCACTACAAATTTATATACCTTCCAAGGCATTCTATTGTGCTCCATCCTCTCTAAATGACCAAACCACCTCAACAGCCCCTCTCCAGCCCTCTGACTAATACTTTTTGTAACTCCACAGCTCCTAATTTCCACACTATGAATTCTCTGCACAATATTTACACTACACATTGCCCTCAGGCACAACATCTCCACTGCCTTCAGCCTCTTCCTCCACATTGCAGCATTCACGACCCATGCTTCACACCCTTATAAGAGTGGTGGTACCACTACATTCTTGCACATTCCCTTCTTTGCCTCCATGGATAATGTTATTTGTCTTCACAGATACCTCAATACACCACTCACTTTTCTTCTTTCATCAATTCTATGGTTAACCTCATTCATAAACGTATCTACTGACAAATCTACTCCCAAATATCTGAACACATTCACTTCTTCCATACTCCCTCCCTCCAATGTGATATCCAATTTTTCTTTACCTAACTAGTTTAATACCCTCATCACCTTACTCCATGTTCACATTCCACTTTCTTCCTTTACGCACCCTCCCAAACTCATCCACTAACCTATGCAGTTTCTTTTTAGAATCCCCCAAAAGCACAGTATCACCAGCAAAAAAGTAACAGTGACAACTCTCATTTTGTATTTAATTCCCCATAATATAATCCCACCCCTCCCCCCAACACTAGAATTTACTTCTTTTACAACCCTATCTATAAATATGTTAAACAACCATGGTAACATTACACATTCCTAAGACCTACTTTTACTGGAAAGTAATCTGCCTCTCTCCTACACACATTATAAAAAGTATTAGTGGAGACTTATACAGGAGGGCCCCACTTTACAGCACTTTATTTTACATCACTTCACTGGTGCAGTGGTTTTCAATTACAGCCATTCTTCATTTATTCAGACTTCCTACAATAAATAAAGTCACCGCTCACTATAACATAAGGGGCGTGAGCAGGGTAATATTTAGTGAAGGGATTCAGGAAGAGAGGAGGAGGAGTATGGAAGAAGTGAATGTTTTCAGATACTTGGGAGTTGACGTGTCGGCGGATGGATTTATGAAGGATGAGGTTAATCATAGAATTGATGAGGGAAAAAAGGTGAGTGGTGCGTTGAGGTATATGTGGAGTCAAAAAACGTTATCTATGGAGGCAAAGAAGGGAATGTATGAAAGTATAGTAGTACCAACACTCTTATATGGGTGTGAAGCTTGGGTGGTAAATGCAGCAGCAAGGAGACGGTTGGAGGCAGTGGAGATGTCCTGTTTAAGGGCAATGTGTGGTGTAAATATTATGCAGAAAATTCGGAGTGTGGAAATTAGGAGAAGGTGTGGATTTTAATAAAAGTATTAGTCAGAGGGCAGAAGAGGGGTTGTTGAGGTGGTTTGGTCATTTAGAGAGAAGGGATCAAAGTAGAATGACATGGAAAGCATATAAATCTATAGGGGAAGGAAGGCGGGGTAGGGGTCGTCCTCGAAAAGGGTTGGAGAGAGGGGGTAAAGGAGGTTTTGTGGGTAAGGGGCTTGGACTTCCAGCAAGCGTGCGTGAGCGTGTTAGATAGGAGTGAATGGAGACGAATGGTACTTGGGACTGACGATCTGTTTGTAGTGTGAGCAGGGTAATATTTAGTGAAGGGATTCAGGGAAACCGGTTATTTTCATATAGTCGGACTTGAGTCCTGGAAATGGGAAGTACAATGCCTGCACTTTAAAGGAGGGGTTTGGGATATTGGCAGTTTGGAGGGATATGTTGTGTATCTTTATATGTGTATGCTTCTAGACTGTTGTATTCTGAGCACCTCTGCAAAAACAGTGATAATGTGCGAGTGTGGTGAAAGTGTTGAATGATGATGAAAGTATTTTCTTTTTGGGGATTTTCTTTCTTTTTTGGGTCACCCTGCCTCGGTGGGAGACGGCCGACTTGTTGAAAAAAAAAAAAAAAAAAAAAAAATTCAGGAAAACTGGTGATTTTTATATAGACAGACTTGAGTGCTGGAAATGGGAAGTACAATGTTGCCTGCACTTTACAAGAGGGGTTTGGGATACTGGCAGTTTGGAGGGATATATTACATATCTTTATATATTCTTCTGAACTGTTGTATCTGCGTGCCTCAGCGAAGACAGTGATTATGTGTGAGTGAGGTAAAAGTACTGAATGATGAAAGTACGTATTTTCTTTTTGGGGATTTTCTTAGAAGAAGAAGAAGAAGAAAGAAGAAGAAGAAGAAAGAAGAAAGAAGAAGAAGAAGAAAGGGAGGAGGAGGGAGAAGGAGGGAGGAGGAGGGAGGAGGAGGAGGGAGGAGGAGGAGGGGGAGGGAGGAGGAGGAGGGAGGAGGAGGGAGGAGTCTCAGTAGTAGTAACCAGTTACCAGTAACCACTGTGCCAGTTGACACACGACCAACCGTCTCTGCCTGAGTCACTGTCTATTCATATTGAGCTGACCTGGCATTATTCAAAGACCCTCTCACATATGGGTACGGGCGGCCAGTCAGTCAGTGTTACGAGTGTGAGCAAGGAGATAGGTACGGCTGTAAGGGCGTTACACACATGGAGCAGGAGGAGGAGGAGGAGCAGGAGGAGCAGGAGGAGCAGGAGGAGCAGGAGGAGCAGGAGGAGGAGGAGGAGCAGGAGGAGCAGGAGGAGCAGGAGGAGCAGGAGGAGCAGGAGGAGCAGGAGGAGGAGCAGGAGGAGCAGGAGGAGCAGGAGGAGCAGCAGCAGCAGCAGCTGTTTCACTTTACAGCAGTAGCCTGGAACCTAACCTTTGCCGTATTTGACATTTAAATACTATAACAGTTTAATATATGAATTAAGATATTTTGAGATCTTGTGTAACTACTTGGTACAACATTTGTATCATGGAATACTGAGATAGAAGATATATTTGGTTAAAGATAAAGATAAGTGGGGGCCTCCTGTATCAGATACATCTACCGACTCAGTGTAAACAAATTAAAAAGCTCACTCTGATGACTGAGAGCCTCGTCGCGTCTCGTTAATAATTTCTTGTTCATTTATGAATGTTCTGTGACGTTCTGCACGTTCACGTCGTCTGCGAAGTGCAGGAGTCACACCAGCATCGGCATCTGTAAATACAAGTAATTACTGTGATGTTCAACAGATTTACAAATACGTACATAAATTCTAACTCGTGAAATTGCAACATGATTACAAAAAAATCACAGAATGGCCTGCAAGTATTAGGTGTCACTCTTCATGGGTTTAAACCCCACCTGTTCTGTGATTTATATAAATTCTTAATAAACCGTGTAAACCTTGAAAAAATCAAAGTAATCTTGAAGCAGTGCCTTAATATTCCATATAATGAACCAGTTCCCTCTGCACTGTAGTTTCTGCCTCCTACACAATATTATTCAATATAAGTCAAAGCAAATACGAAATCAAGTATTTATTAATAAGAAAATTACAGACAAGTATGGGATAAAAAAAGAAAAAAAGACACAATGGCTCAAAAAACAAAACAAAAAAAGTTTTTAACTGTTTTAATTCAACGGCTATCTCCTGCCAAGGCAAGGTGATGCAAAGAAAACACATACGTTATCATTCACTCAGCTGCCACCTTTTCAGAAGCGTGCTATCACAATCAGATTACTCTCTGACTGTAACATCCCCGTCCCTTCCTCTTTGTTACTGTATACGGGCAGACCCCACTTTACAGCACTTTGCTTTATAGCATTTTACTACTGCAGCAATTTTCAATTATACATATTATTCATTAATTCAGACTTCCTACAATATATTCACCACTCACATTAAGCTAAGGGAAAATACTTAAAGGTAGATAATGTGTGTATTATATAAGCATTTTTTAGGTCAACCTCTATTGCTCACTTATTATATGATAGTGTAAACATGATATCAGGCTTTTACATGCATTTGAAAGTTTAAAAAAAAAAATAAAGGATATGTTTCACTTTACAGCAAATTTTAATTACAGAAGTAGCCCAGAACTTAACATATTGTATAAGTGGGGCCCTACAGTAGCCTGGAACCTAACCTGCTGTATAAGTGGGGCCCTACAGTAGCCTGGAACCTAACCTGCTGTATAAGTGGGGCCCTACAGTAGCCTGGAACCTAACCTGCTGTATAAGTGGGGCCCTACAGTAGCCTGGAACCTAACCTGCTGTATAAGTGGGGCCCCACAGTAGCCTGGAACCTAACCTGCTGTATAAGTGGGGCCCTACAGTAGCCTGGAACCTAACCTGCTGTATAAGTGGGGCCCTACAGTAGCCTGGTACAATGTAATATTTTTACAAAGTCCATATTACTCTCAGCATTTTCAGCAAAATGTCCTTATCTATCATTTCTATGATAAGATATACCTAGCTTCATCCTAATATATCACAACTCAATTTTTTTCAGCGAATTTCTAAACCTTCCTCTTTTTTAACAGACCGGTCGTATCTCACTGAGACGGGGCGAGCCAAAAGCAAAAACGAAAGTTTCTCCTTTTAACCCTTAAACGGTCCAAACGTATATATACGTTTTTTCAACATCTGAAAGTATGTAAAAAAATGTAGATCTTTTTTGTTTTACATTTGAAAACGTGTAAAAAAACTTTTATCTACATTTTTTTTTGTTTATTTGAAAATATGTTAAAAAAAGTAGATCTACTTTTGTAGCACTACGAATTTGAACGTCGATTTGTTTGGACCGTTTAAGGGTTAAATTTAATAATGCATACAGGAGAAGAGGTTAAGTAAGTTTATTCAGGTATACACAAATACAGTTACACAGATTATCATACATAGCAGCATATGTGTAGAGAACCTGGGATAACCCAAAAAAGTCAGACACAGTGACTTAATTCCATTGGGGTCCTTTTACCTTTTTTTTTTTTCAACAAACCGGCTGTACCCCACCTTATTATTATAATATAAAGGTTATAATATTTTATTATTATTCTACAATGAAGATAACATCTTATTATCATACTAAAACGACTCTCTACTACACCAAGGTCATTAAGACTATCTACAATACGAGGGTCATTAAGACTATCTACAATACGAGGGTCATTAAGACTATCTACAATACGAGGGTCATTACTAGGAATAAGGTAAAATTACACGTGTGTTAGCTAAAAAATAAAAAAAATCATTCCCCTCCCTTTTCTGTAGCTACATTCATCAGACACCTTTCGGCACTCTTCTTGAACTGGTTCATGCTATGACTGGCTTTGGTTACTAGACCCTTGCTTGGAATTTCTAAATACCTTCAATATTTTAAAAACAATGTATTCTTATTCTCATATCCTTGCAAAAAAATTCTCATATCCTTGTAAGAAAATAAGACACTGACTTAAAGAGCTCCACATATTAACTTAACTCACCTCACCTCAAGGAGCTCCACACTCACCTCACCTCAAGGAGCTCCATACTCACCTCACCTCAAGGAGCTCCACACTCACCTCACCTCAAGGAGCTCCATACTCACCTCACCTCAAGGAGCTCCACACTCACCTCACCTCAAGGAGCTCCATACTCACCTCACCTCAAGGAGCTCCACACTCACCTCACCTCAAGGAGCTCCACACTCACCTTACCTCAAGAAGCTCTGCACTCACCTCAAGGAGCTCCACACACATAATAACTTAACTCACTTCACTTCTACAAAACTCTCACCTGCTTCTATCTCACCTCCTGGTATATATTTGTATCTGTTTTCTAACTTCTCTATAATTCGATAAATCATCGTCTTTCAACAAACCGGCAGTATTCCACCGAGGCGGGATGGCCCAAAGGGAAAAACTAAAGCTTCTCTTTTCAAATTTAGTAATGTCTTATATGCAGGAAAATACAGTAATCCCAAAACTGAATGAAAATTCCATAAGTCTAGAAAATATAACTTGTGACTTTATTACAATAAAAGTTTATCCTAAAACATGTCTTTTCTTTAGAGAATAAAGCCTTACTTACGTTTGATGCCAGATAAATCATCCTGAGGAATACCAAATGAATCGCCATTAATGTTGATGACAGTCACATGGTCTTCATCACTGCTGGACTGTCTGCCACCACCAGACTCAAGATTAACTCCCAGATTTTTAACCTGTTGGGGTATAACTCAAGTATTAGTTTCCCAGAAATCTCAGATGCTCCTACAAAGAACACTGAGTACTCATGTTAATGGTTTCTTCCAAAATACTGTATTCCAAAGTACAGAAATGAATAACATTTTTTTTTTTTATAATTGTACCTTCAAATTTTGAAAAGCATTCATAAGTATTCCTAGGTAGTAGGTTGGTAGACAGCAACCACCCAGGGAGGTACTACCGTCCTGCCAAGTGAGTGTAAAACGAAAACCTGTAATTGTTTTACATGATGGTAGGATTGCTGGTGTCCATTTTTCTGTCTCATAAACATGCAAGGTTTCAGGTACGTCTTGCTACTTCTACTTACACTTAGGTCATACTACACATACATGTACAAGCATATATATACACACACCCCTCTGGGTTTTCTTCTATTTTCTTTCTAGTTCTTGTTCTTGTTTATTTCCTCTTATCTCCATGGGGAAGTGGAACAGAATTCTTCCTCCGTAAGCCATGCGTGTTGTAAGAGGCGACTAAAATGCCGGGAGCAAGGGGCTAGTAACCCCTTCTCCCGTATAAATTACTAAATTTAAAAAGAGAAACTTTCGTTTTTCTTTTTAGGCCACCCTGCCTCGGTGGGATACGGCCAATTTGTTGAAAAAAAAAAAATTCATAAGTATTGTAAGTGACACTGCAGTTTATTGTATTAACTTGTTATATTTCCTTATACAACCCATTAGAAATAGAGGACTCTAATTAATGTAAAATACAGTAGAGTACTGTACTCTAATTTTAAATACATTAACACACAGTGGACCCCTGACCAATGAAGGCATCGTCTAACGATAAAATCGCCTAACGAGGCATTTTAGCATCAAAATTTTGGCTCGACCAACCATGAAAAACTCAACTAACAACATTCGCCCCGAACACGTCCACGTGTCCGTCTGGCCTGAGCGCACCTTAGCTGCCCTGCCTTCAATTAGTGTGCCAGTGTTTACAAGCCAGTGCGGTTGCTTCCATGCATACATTCAGTACATTTTGTATTATTCCAGTGTTTTTGGTGCTTGTAACTGCTAAATAAGCCACCATGGGTCCAAAGAATGTTTCTAGTGCCAACCCTGTGGTAAAAAGGGTGAGAATTACAATCGAAATGAAGAAGGAGATAATCACAAGTATGAAAGTGGAGTGTGTGTGTGTCTGAGCTGGCCAGGTTGTATAACAAACCCCAATCAACCATTGCTACTATCTTGGCCAACAGAAAGGCAATCAAGGAAGTTGTTGTTGCGAAAGGTGCAAGTATGTTTTCAAAACAGAGATCGCAAGTACTCGAAGATGTTGAGAGACTGTTGTTGTTGTGGATAAACAAAAAACAGATATCAGGAGATAGTATCTCTCAATCAATCATATGTGAAAAGGCAAGGCAGTTGCATGACGATTTAATTAAAAAAATGCCTGCAAATAGTGATGTTATTGAATTTAAGGCCAGCAAAGGTTGGTTTGAGAGATTTAAGAATTGTAGTGGCATATACAGTGTGGTAAGGCATGGTGAGGCTGCTTAGCATACCTTTGGCTAATCTTTTTAACATATCACTACAAACTGGCATAGTGCCTGATAAATAGAAAATGGCAAATGTAATACCTATTTACAAGGCAGGTGACAGGTCCTTGGATTCGAACTATAGACCGATAAGCCTTGCCTCCATAGTGAGAAAATTTATGGAATCAATAATTGCCGAAGCAATTCGTAACCATCTTGATAGGCACAGATTGATTAATGAATCTCAACGCGGTTTTACAAAGGGGCGTTCCTGTCTTACGAATTTACTAACATTTTTCACTAAGGTGTTTGAGGAGGTAGATCATGGTAATGAATATGATATTATGTATATGGACTTCAGTAAGGCTTTCCATAGAGTTCCACATCAGAGGCTATTGAGGAAACTTAAGGCACACGGAATAGGAGGAGAAATTTTTTCCTGGGTAGAGGCATGGTTGACAAATAGGCAGCAGAGAGTTTGCATAAATGAGGAGAAATCAGAATGGGGGCACGTCGCAAGCGGTGTTCCTCAGAGGTCAGTGCTGGGTCCGTTGTTGTTCATAATTTACATAAACGACATAGATGAGGGAATAAATAGCGACATAAACAAATTTGCTGATGACACCAAAATAGGCCGACCAATTCATTCTAATGAGGACACTAGAGCGCTCCAGGATGATTTTAATAGACTGATGCAATGGTCGGAGAAGTGGCAGATGTAGTTTAATACAGACAAATGCAAAGTTCTAAATGTTGGACAGGAAAATAACCATGCCACATATAAACTAAATAATGTAGATCTTAATACTACTGATTGCAAAAAGGATTTAGGAGTTCTGGTCATAAGTAATCTAAAACCAAGACAACAGTGCATTAGTGTTCACAATAAAGCTAACAGAATTCTTGGCTTCATATCTAGAAGTATAAATAATAGAAGTCCTCAGGTTGTTCTTCAACTCTATATATCCTTGGTTAGGCCTCATTTAGACTATGCTGCTCAGTTCTGGTCACAGTATTACAAAATGGATATAAATGCTCTGGAAAACATACAGAGGAGGATGACAAAGATGATCCCATGTATCAGAAATCTTCCCTATGAGGATAGGCTGAGGGCCCTGAATCTGCACTCTCTCGAAAGGCGTAGAATTAGGGGGGATATAATCGAGGTGTATAAATGGAAAACAGGAATAAATAAAGGGGATGTAAATAGCGTGCTGAAAATTTCCAACCAAGACAGGACTCACAGCAATGGTTTCAAACTGGAAAAATTCAGATTCAGGAAGGATAAAGGAAAGCACTGGTTTGGTAATAGAGTTGTGGATAAGTGCAACAAACTCCCGAGTACAGTTATTGAGGCTAAAACATTGTGTAGTTTTAAAAATAGGCTAGATAAATACATGAGTGGGTGTTGGTGGGTGTGAGTTGGACCTGACTAGCTTGTGCTGCTGGGTCTGGTACCGTGCTCCTTCCGTGAGTGGAGGTGACCAGACTGGGTGGGTCATTGCACTAATCCGGTGGGGGAGGGACATGGACCTGCTCCGCATGGGTCAGTAGGCCTGTTGCAGTGTTCCTTCTTTCTTATGTTCTTATGTTCTTAGGTGTTTAATTGTGACAAAACAGGCCTGTTTGCCAAACAGGACCTACATTACACAGGAGGAAAAAGCACAGCCAAGACACAAGCCAATGAAAGACAGGCTAACTCTCATGTTGTGTAGGAATGCTAGTTGGGATTGCAAAGTGAAGCCTCTACTCATGTATCACTCTGAAACTCCCTGTGTGTTCAAGAAAAAAAATGTGTCAAGGCTAATTTATGTGTGATGTGGAGGGCAAACAGTAAGGCATGGGTCACTAGGGACATTTTCTATGATTGGTTTTATCATGTGTTTGGCCCCACTGTGAAAAATTACCTCCTGGAAAATAAATTGGACCTCAAGTATCTCCTGGTATTAGACAATGCTCCTACTCATCCTTCAGACATTTTTTTTTTTTTTTTTTTTTAACAAGTCGGCCGTCTCCCACCGAGGCAGGGTGACCCAAAAAAGAAAGAAAATCCCCAAAAAGAAAATACTTTCATCATCATTCAACACTTTCACCACACTCACACATTATCACTGTTTTTGCAGAGGTGCTCAGAATACAACAGTTTAGAAGCACATACATATAAAGATACACAACATATCCCTCCAAACTTGCCAGAGTGAATTTCAGGGGATTTGAGTTTTATCAAAGTTAAGTTCTTGCCTCCTAATACCACTCCTCTCCTCCAGCCCAAAGCAATGTTTAAAAAGTGCTTTGAAGTGACCTCAGACACTCAACTGACTGTAAGAGACTTTTGGAAAGTTCACTTTAGTATCCTCAATTGCATAAACTGGACCTTGACCTCTGCTTGGAGGAAATTGTGGCCAGAATGTGTACAAGAGAGGGATTTTGAAGGGTCTGGGGCTAACCCTGAGGAGCTATGCCAGGTGTGGAATCTATTGTGGCACTGGGGAAGTCCATGGGACTGGGGGTTAGTGGGGAGGATGTGGAAGAGTTGGTGAGGACGACGATGAAGAACTAACCACTGATAAGCTGCAAGAGCATCTGCAACAGCAGGAGACCACAACTGAGGAAATTGCTTCAGAGGAGGGGAGAGAGAAATTGAGGAAATTGCCTTCTTCAACGATTAAGGAAATGTGTACAATGTGGACAAAGGTGCAAACCTTTATGGATGAAAATCCCCGACACAGCTATTGCAAGCCGTGCTGGTGACTTTTACAATGACAATGTTGTGGCCCATTTTAGAAAAATCAGAGGAACGCTGAGGTACAGAGCTCTATGGACAGATTTTTGGTGCAACAGAGGTCCAGTGACTCAAGTTGTTCCCAGTGGCATTAAAAAAGCAGGGAAGTAACCCCAGAAAAGGACTTGGTACCTAAAGTCCCATCTCATCACTACATCTTCAATAAAGGTAAGTGTCACTTATTCTTCATTTAGTACAGTATTTATTGTGCATGTATCCTTGTTTTTCTGTGTGAGAAAATGTATATTTCATGTGAAAAAAAAAAAATTTCATACTTTTGGGTGCCTGGAACGGATTAATTGGATTTCCATTATTTCTTATGGGGAAAATTAATTTGACTAACGATAAATTCGCCTAAAGACAAGCTCTCTGGAACGGATTAATGTCCACTGTGTACTGTAATACTAAATGCAGTAGAGTACTCTAATTTTTTTTTAACGCATTGGTCGTCTCCCACCGAGGCAAGGTAACCCAAAAAGAAAGAAAATCCTTAAAAAGAAAAATACTTTCATTATCATTCAACACTTTCACCTCACTCATACATAATCACTGTCTTTGCAGAGGCGCTCAGATACGACAATTTAGAAGTCCCTCCAAATTACCAATATCTCAAACCCCTCCTTTAAAGTGCAGGCATTGTACTTCCGATTTCCTGGGCTCAAGTCCGGCTAACCAGAGTACTCTAACATTAAATATATTAACGTATTTTAATATTAAATAGAGTACTCTTCTAATATTAAAAACAGTGAAGTACTCTAATATTATATACAGCAGAGTACTTATATACTAAAATGTAATACAGTAAAATGCTATAAAAAATATACCTACCTTTTTTATCTTAGAAGGAGATGGAGAGTCCTGGTGACGGCGTGACTTGCGGCGATTAATGGAATCTCGGTCAGCAGAGCATATTCGAGGTGCTTGTCTGTCAAGATTAACATAATTGGGTTAAAAGTACTTTCAGAACAATGAGAAACACAAATAGAGTAATATACCAAGGTATATACTAAGGTGTCCTGTACCTCGATTGGTAGCACACTCAGCTCACACACTGAGGTCTGGGGGACACTCCCAGGTACAGGTGGAAACATTAAGATGTGTTTCCTTAAGGCACCTGCTGTCCATGTTCACCCATCAGTAAAATAGGTACGTATTTGAAAATACACGATAAATTTAGGTTCACCTAAAAAGCTGTGCGTTTGTTGCTTTACTACCAATATTATATATGTTAGGTAAGACACATATGCAACAGTTAGGTATCTTTATTTCGAAACGTTTTGCCTACACAGTAGGCTTGTTTCAAACTTTGGAACAATGCTCTTCTCCAGACTGAGGGACTGACCACCTCAAAACTTTAAGGGTGATGGACTGATTACATCGTCTTCAAGTATCTTCTGCTTCTATCAACTTTTCTGTACTCGACTGAAGAAGCCTACTGTGTAGGCGAAACATTTCGAAATAAAGATACCTAACTGTTGCATATGTGTCTTACCTAACAACCTGTCGGTATTTTATACCATTTTAATGTTCAATATCATATATAACGTATGCATTTCTCCCTCTTAAACTTTATTGTACAACCAGTGTGTTATTTTTGACTACACCTACTTTGTAGAATCATTTCCTTTAGGTCAGTATTGCTGAGCACAAGACAGTAATACTGAACCAAATGTAATGATTCTACATCGTAAGCTTACCTGGAGTATACCTGTATGGGGGTGGGGGGGGTCAACGTCCCCAAGGCCCAGTCCATGACCAGGCCTCATGGTGGATCAGGGCCTGATCAACCAGGCTGTTACTGCTGGCAGAACTTTAACCAACGAACGAGCCACAGCCTGGCTGGTTAGGTACTGACTTTAGATGCCTGTCCAGCTCCTACTTGAAGACAGCCAGGGGTCTATTGCTGATCCCCCTTGGTCAAAATAATACACTACGTTTACAGTGTATCATTTTGAGCAAGTGTAATGGGACTTTTCCTAAAATAATATACAGTGATATGCCCTTGTAGTCTTCAGATAGGGTTAAGCTTGCACAAAATGCTCTGCATAACTATGGGTTATCAACATCAAAAATCATGCACTCAACTGTCACCCATTTTTGTATAAACACTGTACCATGTCGACATAAACTTGTATTGTATTTACTCTATATATAGTATATTATGCAATATGATCACAATAAACAGGTGATATCACAATATGCAGAATGACCACTGTGAAAAAATAGTGAAATTCCAAGCGATTTTGTGACTTCTCACATTATCAAGGAACTGTAGTTCCTTCATAATGACTTCTCACATTATCAAGAACTACAGTTCCTTCAAAGACTTCTCACATTATCAAGGAACTATAGTTCCTTCATAATGACTTCTCACATTATCAAGGAACTACAGTTCCTTCATAATGACTTCTCACATTATCAAGGAACTATAGTTCCTTCTAATGGACTTCTCACATTATCAAGGACTACAGTTCCTTCATATGACTTCTCACATTATCAAGGAACTATAGTTCCTTACTAATGACTTCTCACATTATCAAGGAACTAGAGTTCCTTCATAATGATTCTCACATTATCAAGGAACTATAGTTCCTTCATAATGACTTCTCACATTATCAAGAACTATAGTTCCTTCATAATGACTTTCACATTATCAAGGAACTACAGTTCCTTCATAATGACTTCTCACATTATCAAGGAACTACATTCTTCATAATGACTTCTCACATTATCAAGGAACTATAGTCCTTCATAATGACTTCTCACATTATCAAGGAACTACGTTCCTTCATAATGACTTCTCACATTATCAAGGAAACTAATTCCTTCATAATGACTTCTCACATATCAAGGAACTACAGTTCCTTCATAATGACTTCTCACATTATCAAGGAACTATAGTTCCTTCATAATGACTTCTCACATTATCAAGGAACTACAGTTCCTTCATAATGACTTCTCACATTATCAAGGAACAACATTCCTCATAAGACTTCTCACATTATCAAGGAACTACAGTTCCTTCATAATGACTTCTCACATTATCAAGGAACTATAGTTCCTTCATAATGACTTCTCACATTATCAAGGAACTACAGTTCCTTCATAATGACTTCTCACATTATCAAGGAACTACAGTTCCTTCATAATGACTCTCACATTATCAAGGAACTACAGTTCCTTCATAATGACTTCTCACATTATCAAGGAACTATCAGTTCCTTCATAATGACTTCTCACATTATCAAGAACTACAGTTCCTTCATAATGACTTCTCACATTATCAAGGAACTGTATTTCCTTCATAATGACTTCTCACATATCAAGGAACTACAGTTCCTTCATAATGACTTCTCACATTATCAAGGAACTACAGTTCCTTCATAATGACTTCTCACATTATCAAGGAACTATAGTTCCTTCATAATGACTTCTCACATTATCAAGGAACTACAGTTCCTTCATAATGACTTCTCACATTATCAAGGAACTATAGTTCCTTCATAATGACTTCTCACATTATCAAGGACTACAGTTCCTTCATAATGACTTCTCACATATCAAGGAACTGTAGTTCCTTCATAATGACTTCTCACATTATCAAGGAACTACAGTTCCTTCATAAGACTTCTCACATTATCAAGGAACTGTGTTCCTTCATAATGACTTCTCACATTAGTCAAGGAACTACAGTCCTTCATAATGACTTCTCACATTATCAAGGAACTGTAGTTCCTTCATAATGACTTCTCACATTATCAAGGAACTACAGTTCCTTCATAATGACTTCTCACATTATCAAGGAACTACAGTTCCTTCATAATGACTTCTCACATTATCAAGGAACTATAGTTCTTTCATAATGACTTCTCACATTATCAAGGAACTACAGTTCCTTCATAATGACTTCTCACATTATCAAGGAACTATAGTTCCTTCATAATGACTTCTCACATTATCAAGGAACTACAGTTCCTTCATAATGACTTCTCACATTATCAAGGAACTGTAGTTCCTTCATAATGACTTCTCACATTATCAAGGAACTACAGTTCCTTCATAATGACTTCTCACATTATCAGGAACTGTAGTTCCTTCATAATGACTTCTCACATTATAAGGAACTACAGTCCTTCATAATGACTTCTCACATTATCAAGGAACTGTAGTTCCTTCATAATGACTTCTCACATTATCAAGGAACTACAGTTCCTTCATAATGACTTCTCACATTATCAAGGAACTATAGTTCCTTCATAATGACTTCTCGCATTAAGGAACTATAGTTCCTTCATAATGTGAGAAGTCACAAAAGCGCTTGGAATTTCACTATTTTTTCACAGTGGTTGTTCTGCATAGTACATTATGCCTATAGTGTCTAATACCTCTTGTCATATTTTTTGGAAAAACAAATATCAGGTATGATTTGTTTTCCAAATTTCTAGTAATAAGTAAGACAACATAACTGTACCTGATGGTTGGATCAATAGTGCATGTGCGACAGATGTCATCGCCGTCCTCGTATGCAAGAACTGCCTCGTAGATCGTAAACTGTTGCAGCAGATCTAAGTCACTATCTGGTCGGTGCATGTACCTGTAAGGTCAACACAGTTTACGTATAATTATCAACCAATGTTCTAAAAAATTCTGGTTTTTATTTCTAAAATACACCTACCATCTGACTTACGACCGAGTTCGGTTCCGAGAAACCGGTCGTAAGTCAAAATGGACGTAAGTCGAACTTTACTACTGAATATCAACATCACATTTTTGTAATGACTTTATTTTATTTTGGTATTTCATGTTTTACTTTACTTTTTATGCTGTTAGCACTGTATTTTATACTGTAAGGTTTAGGATAAACACTGTGTACAACACAAATAGTTGTTTATTTCCCAGAAATTTGGCATAAAAAACACGGTCGTAAGTCGAGCAGGTCATAAGTCGGATGGTAGGTGTACAAAGTTTCACAAAAATGTAATAACACAACTGTATACAAATCACAAAATGGGGTTACTTGAACCCATGGCAAGTGAGACTCATTTGCTATGGGGTCGAGCCCCCAGCTGTATACCTGGAGGAAGTTCTGGAGATCAATGCCCCCGAGACCTGGTCCATGACCTGGCCTCGTGGTGATTCAAAGCAGTCAATTAGTTACTGCCTTATTAGTCTTAAGATAGGTTGAAGTTCGGCCAAAATGCTGGTTATTTATGTGTTGTTCCAGTCTCAGTATTGTGCCCTTTTACTCTTTCTGTATTAATATCAATAAATACTTGGTATAAATAGTAATAATAATAATATGTCCTAGGTAGTAGGTTGGTAGACAACAACCACCCAGGGAGGTACTACCATCCTGTGGTAGTAGGTTGGTAGACAGCAACCGCCCAGGGAGGTACTACCGTCCTGCCAAGTGAGTGTAAAACGAAAACCTGTAATTGTTTTACATGATGGTAGGATTGCTGGTGTCCACTTTTCTGTCTCATAAACATGCAAGATTTCAGGTACATCTTGCTACTTCTACTTATCTTTATGTCACACTACACATACATGTACAAGCATATATATACACACCCCTCTGGGTTTTCTTCTATTTTCTTACTAGTTCTTGTTCTTGTTTATTTCCTCTTACCTCCATGGGGAAGTGGAACAGAATTCTTCCTCCGTAAGCCATGCGTGTTGTAAGAGGTGACTAAAATGCCGGGAGCAAGGGGCTAGTAACCCCTTCTCCTGTATAAATTACTAAATTTAAAAAGAGAAACTTTCTTTTTTCTTTTTGGGCCACCCCGCCTCGGTGGGATATGGCCGGTTTGTTGAAAGAAGAAGAAGAAGAAGAAGAAGAAGAAAGAATGATATTATGTATACACTATATTTTTTTCCATCAAACTGGTCATATCCCACCAAGGCAGGGTGACCTAAAAAGAAAAATGAAAGTTTCTCATTTTAAATTCAGTAATGTACACAGGAGAAGGAGTTAATACACTATATTAATATCAGTACATCCTTGTTATAAATAGTAATAATATTAACTTCCTTAGAAGGCTTTTACACCAATGACATTTACAGTAAGGGATTTACATGACAAAACCCAGTTATACAAAACATTCTAGAGAGACTAAGGCTACAGGTAATTCTAATAATAAAAATTAAAAAATATATTATGTGTATAGAGAGTATAATACCTAAGTATAATATAAAAAGAAATACAGAAGAGCCATGCCTATACAGCAACTTCTTTTCGGTGTTCTCACATTTCTACTGGCTTCAAATTGAGCCATTGTTCATTGTGTTCATTGTTCCACCAGCAGGAGACACAATGAACATAATGAACAATGATTCAATGACAGGTGGAACAATGACCCAATTGAAAGTCAACAAAAACATGGCACACAAAACAGGTGTTGCATTTGCAGGGCCCTCCTGTGAAAACATGTGCTGTATATGTAGGGTCCTCCTGTGAAAACAGGTGCTGTCTATGCAGGGCCCTCCTGTGAAAACATGTGCTGTATATGTAGGGTCCTCCTGTGAAAACAGGTGCTGTCTATGCAGGGCCCTCCTGTGAAAACAGGTGCTGTCTATGCAGGGCCCTCCTGTGAAAACAGGTGCTGTCTATGCAGGGCCCTCCTGTGAAAACAGGTGCTGTCTATGCAGGGCCCTCCTGTGAAAACAGGTGCTGTCTATGCAGGGCCCTCCTGTGAAAACAGGTCCTGTCTATGCAGGGCCCTCCTGTGAAAACAGGTGCTGTCTATGCAGGGCCCTCCTGTGAAAACAGGTGCTGTCTATGCAGGGCCCTCCTGTGAAAACAGGTGCTATCTATGCAGGGCCCTCCTGTGAAAACAGGTGCTGTCTATGCAGGGCCCTCCTGTGAAAACAGGAGCTGTCTATGCAGGGCCCTCCTGTGAAAACAGGTGCTGTCTATGCAGGGCCCTCCTGTGAAAACAGGTGCTGTATATGCAGGGCTCTAATGTGAAAACAAGTGCTGAATATGTAGGGCTATCCTGTAATCACTACAGAACTGAAGTGACAAATGATAATCAACTTACTTTGCGATCAACGTTTCAATGCCTTGCTCCTCAAGATAGTCTGTTTGGTCGTAATAGGTATCTTGGTCTGGGATTCCATTTAGTGTCTTGTTGACTAGTGTCATGGCAAACGTGAGCAACTCCATATCTAAACTATCTCGACCTTCTAAAAGTCGCACAATCGTGGTCCACGGCAGGTCACCTGGTTTGGTAAAAAGAGTTGTGGATGAACGAAACAAACTCCCATGGAGTATCACTGATGCTAAAACCTTGTGTAGCTTTAAAAATAGGTTAGACAAGTACATAAGTGGCTGTGGTAGAACCTGCCTAGCATGGACCAGTAGGTCCACTACAGTGCCCCTTCTTTCTTATGGTCTTAAATGCTTGATACAATCAAATTTTATCCACTTAAGTAACTTTAACATAAAAAAAGGAATGCAGTAATATAAAAGTATAGTACAATAGCAAACAGGGTGACCCAAAAAATGAACCATCAGTGGCAGACCTACATTTTTGGGGCCCTGAACCTTGAACTGTTATGGGGGCCCCTTTGAAACCCCTTCTCATACAGCAGACCCAAAATTTTTAAGCAATGTGGACTAAAGTCACTTCTGGGGCCTCCCTCCAGGATTAGGGGCCCTCAAGTTTAAGCTTCATTAGCTTCGTAGTAGATCCATAGATTTCAATAGCTGTTCTGCAAGAAGGGCACTGATACCCCCTTGGAAATAACCTATAACGTGCAACATCCTCCACATCTCTGAGAATTAAAGAATTATTAATTCTATATAGTTTGCAAAAGTCCCTGATGAAGTAGAACAAATACAGAATGAAAATAAAAATGAAAGCCAAGAAAACATATATCTGTAACTGTTTTACTTGTTTAAAAATTATGTGGTAAAAATCCGTACAGGTTAAGTGACTGATATCAAACATGTAAATAAAAAGGTAGTTACAGTGAACCCTCGATATAAGCAAGATAAGATAAGATAAGATAAGATTTTGTTCGGATTTTTAACCTCGGAGGGTTAGCCACCCAGGATAACCCAAGAAAGTCAGTGCGTCATCGAGGACTGTCTAACTTATTTCCATTGTGGTCCTTAATCTTGTCCCCCAGGATGCGACCCACACCAGTCGACTAACACCCAGGTACCTATTTGCTGCTAGGTGAACAGGACAACAGGTGTAAGGAAACGTGTCGAAATGTTTCCACCCGCCGGAATCGAACCCGGGCCCTCCGTGTGTGAAGCGGGAGCTTTAGCCACCAGACCACCAACTGATAGGGGGAGTGGTTGGCCAGTAATGACAACTGTGCTATACAGAGAAGAGATTGTTTTGCTGTTATAGTAACAACAGACCGGGTGGCCCGGTGGCCTGGTGGCTAAAGCTCCCGCTTCACACACGGAGGGCCCGGGTTCGATTCCCGGCGGGTGGAAACATTTCGACACGTTTCCTTACACCTGTTGTCCTGTTCACCTAGCAGCAAATAGGTACCTGGGTGTTAGTCGACTGGTGTGGGTCGCATCCTGGGGGACAAGATTAAGGACCCCAATGGAAATAAGTTAGACAGTCCTCGATGACGCACTGACTTTCTTGGGTTATCCTGGGTGGCTAACCCTCCGGGGTTAAAAATCCGAACAAAATCTTATCTCTTATCTTAACAGACCTTATCTGTTGACTTCAAATCGTCTGGCCCAGCAAATTCTGTTCCATATTTCACAAGTGTGTTATACAGAGAGGTCCATTATATCAAACATTTACTGTATTTCTCTTACCTCTTGAAGAATCTATTGTTTCAATAGCATTAACAAGTATGAGAGCATTGGACTCCGTGTACTCGACGAAGACAAGCAACAGCTTGAGGGCCGTCTTAACCACAAGACGATACTTGGAAGATATGAGTGAGTATAGCCACTGTATTGTCTCCTGGTGTTCCATCACACCGTTCATACCATCAACGTACAACATCACCTGCCCAAGAGCTGAACACACAACAAAAAATTATTTTTCTCAATTAATAAACTTTTTATAACACATCAATTTGAAAAGAGTTGTTTATAGGAAATAATAATATTAAGAATGATTAATATTAAGAACGATAATTTGAATTTGAGTTTTGAATTTGAATTGTTTCATACATGATTAATATTAAAAAAGATTAATTTGAATTATATTTCATGCATGATTAACCCATAAACGGTCCAAACATATATATACGTTATCTCGCGTAGTGCCCCAAATTTTTTGAGAAAATTTTTTTTTTTAATAGGAAAAAAGAGCATATGGTACCCAGGCATTCCCCATTATTTTAATATGGTGCACAGTGAGTGTGCACACCCATTCTCTCATGTCTAGGCGACTCAGGCTTATTGTGGCAATGTTGAATGTATGACAAATAAAACATATATATACGTTTGGGGCACTAGCGGTAAAAATGCATATACATGTATACGTTTGGACCGTTTATGGGTTAATATTAAGAAAGACTAATTGAATTATATTTCATACATGCTCATACTGTGCCTCTACCATTGTAAATGATTTATTAGTTCCCAATTAATCTATTTGTAAGTATGGATGTGTAATTTAGGGATTTGTAAATTGACGATCACTTGCACTTCTCTTAACAATCTATGGAAGAAGTTAATCCATGATTGTGGACATAACTGTAGCTAACTGCACAACAAATCCTAGTTAATAGTCTAAGTCAGTGTTATTCACTAATTTTTGCAAGAGAGCCACTTCGGTTAAACACATTGATTGAGAGAGCCGCAGCTACTGCAAGTTAGCGTAACTCAACTAAATTAAGTAGTACTGAGCAGCTAGTGCAATATAGTAAATGAAAAAAAGTAGACATGAGCCGTGAATTGAGTCATCGCGAGCCACTGGCGGCTCGCGAGCCGCACAATGAATACCACTCAAAAATTAAAAAGTTTATTCTCTATAAGGATTACAATGCTGAGTTTACAGAATTTGGTTATTGTGTGGTTTACATGTAGTAAAATAATAATTACAGAGTGTACCACTAGAACACCTAGCATGGCTAGGCATTACAGAGTGTACCACTAGAACACCTAGCATGGGTAGGTATTACAGATTGTACCACTAGAACACCTAGCATGGCTAGGCATTACAGAGTGTACCACTAGAACACCTAGCATGGCTAGGCATTACAGATTGTACCACTAGAACACCTAGCATGGGTAGGTATTACAGAGTGTACCACTAGAACACCTAGCATGGCTAGGCATTACAGATTGTACCACTAGAACACCTAGCATGGCTAGGCATTACAGATTGTACCACTAGAACACCTAGCATGGCTAGGCATTACAGAGTATACCACTAGAACACCTAGCATGGCTAGGCATTTCGGGCAGACTTAGATTAAATCTTAAGTTTAAAATATTACAAAATTATGAGGTAAGTTAGTATTATGGCTAAGTGACTAAATACTAGTTTGTGAGTTTAGCAATGTGAATGCTTTTGTTTTGGCACAGTACATAGTTTCAGTATTGGAGTATCACAGGCTAACTTATGACTAGTTAAGATTCATTATTTTGAGATTGAGATTGATATTTCTGTTTATGGTCAAATGGGTGAGTGAGTGTAAGTGTGAACCACCAGGTGGTATTCGTATAATTAGTTGACACGGTGTATCAGGGAGATAAGATGTTTTCACTGGTCTAAGTCTTAAGTAATCTTTAAGCATTAGAATTAGTCTGCCCAAAATGCAATGAATACTAGTGGCTTTTTGTGCCTAACAATGCTTTATTACATGTAAACTACAGTATCTCTGTAACACATAAGAAGAAACGAAAATTTATATCTGAAGTCTGAGCTGTACCTCATATCAATTAAGAGTATACACAAGCATTTAGGATTTTCTCGACTAAAGGAACAAAAAATGCAAAATATAGTACAGTACTGACCTCTAAGGATGTGTACAGTACAGTACTGACCACAAAGGATGTGTACAGTACAGTACTGACCTCAAAGGATGTGTACAGTACAGTACTGACCTCTAAGGATGTGTACAGTACAGTACTGACCACAAAGGATGTGTACAGTACAGTACTGACCACAAAGGATGTGTACAGTACAGTACTGACCTCAAAGGATGTGTACAGTACAGTACTGACCACAAAGGATGTGTACAGTAGAGTACTGACCTCTAAGGATGTGTACAGTAGAGTACTGACCTCTAAGGATGTGTACTGACTGACCTCTAAGGATGTGTACTGACTGACCTCTAAGGATGTGTACTGACTGACCTCTAAGGATGTGTACTGACTGACCTCTAAGGATGTGTACTATAGAGTACTGACCTCTAAGGATGTGTACTATAGAGTACTGACCTCTAAGGATGTAGTTCTGATAATTCTGGTCAGCAGAGGAACCCACTTTGATAAGGCACGTGAGGCCATCATTCTGGACGAAGGCATGGACCAAGTCCTTATCATCCTGGAAGATTTGCTTGAGGGAGAAGAGAGCGCGCCTCAGCTCCCGGCCCTCTGAATTTAGCAGCTTCTCTGTCAGGGATAAAAAACACCTGCTGAGACAACTTACTCTGCTACAATCATAAGTCATACTTTTAAAAACTGTACCAATGTTCATTAGCTACCTTACTGTACAGGCGCTCCTTGACTTACAATGGAATTATCTTCTGATGAACCCATCCTAAGTTAAAAATATCCTAAGTTGAATATGAATGTGATTTTATTTATTATTAACACATTGGCGGTTACCCACCAAGGCAGGGTGGCACGTATAAGAAAAACTTTCATCATTCACTCCATCACTGTCTTGCCAGAGGTGTGCTTACACTACAGTTTTTAAACTGCAACATTAACACCCCTCCTTCAGAGTGCAGACACTGTACTTCCCATCTCCAGGACTCAAGTCCGGCCTGCCGGTTTCCCTGAATCCCTTCATAAATGTTACCACGAGTTCCTATCGTTCTATTTCTATTTTAAATTCTTCATTCTTCCCATACCTAAGCAGCTAAAACTTACCACTAATGAACATCATATTGTTCTCCACTACCCGCTAGGAAACAGTTTATATCTTCCTACAATTTTTTAGAGTCTTCTACCAAATTGACTTTTGTGCTTATTTCAGTGTCATCTACAGAACTGTGATGGGTGTTTTTTATCTATGTCTTATGAGAACGAGAAACAGCAGAGGTGCCAGGACAGTACCTTGGGGCACCGAGATTTTAACCTCGCTGAGGCTGGATTTCCCTTTCTTCACTACTGCTTCTTGTGTTCTGTGTAATTAGAACCCGAAAATTCATCTACATATCTTCCCTGTAAATGATATGGCCCTTATTTTGTGAGCAATCACCACACGTACAGACACTCACCTATAATAGCGTGGACACGTACAGACACTCACCTATAATAGCGTGGACACGTACAGACACTCACCTATAATAGCGTAGACACACAGACTCACCTATAATAGCGTGGACACGTACAGACTCACCTATAATAGCGTGGACACGTACAGACACTCACCTATAATAGCGTGGACACGTACAGACTCACCTATAATAGCGTGGACACGTACAGACTCACCTATAATAGCGTGGACACGTACAGAAACTCACCTATAATAGCGTGGACACTTACAGACTCACCTATAACAGCGAGGACACGTACAGACACACCTACAATAGCGTGGACACGTACACTCACCTATAATAGCGTGGACACGTACACTCACCTATAATAGCGTGGACACACTCACCTATAATAGCGTGGACACGTACAGACACTCACCTATAATAACGTGGACACGTACAGACACTCACCTATAATAGCGTGGACATGTACAGACACTCACCTATAATTGCGTGGACATGTACACCTATAAGAGCGTGGACACGTACACTCACCTATAACAGCGTGGACACGTACACTCACCTATAATAGCGTGGACATGTACACTCACCTATAATAGCGTGGACACATACAGACTCACCTATAATAGCGTGTACACGTAGACACTCACCTATAATAGCGTGGACACGTACACCGCTTTTAAACAGAGGGGGGCACTTTACATAACTATAATAGCGGGGGAAAACGTACTCACCTTATAATAGCGTGGACACGTTACACTCACCTATTAATACGTGGACACGTACATCCCCTATTAATAGGGTGGACACTTTAGACACTCACCTATAATAGCGGGGACACGTACAGACACTCGCCTATTAAAGTTGGACCCCTCATCCCCTATATAGCAGGACACGTCAACACTCCCCTTTATAAAGCGGTGGAACTTTACGTCATCACCTATAATAGCGAGGACACGTACAGACCTCCCCCTTAAAATTTAACTTTGGACAGTACAGACACTCACCTATAATAGCGAGGACACGTACACTCACCTATAATAGCGTGGACATGTACACTCACCTATAATAGCGTGGACACGTACACTCACCTATAATAGCGTGGACACGTACACTCACCTAAAATAGCGTGGACACGTACACTCACCTATAATAGCGTGGACACGTACACACTCGCCTATAATAGCGTGGACACGTACAGACTCACCTATAATAGAGTGGACACGCAGACACTCACCTATAATAGCGTGGACACATACAGACACTCACCTATAATAACGTGGACACGTACACTCACCTATAATAGCGTGGACACGAACACTCACCTATAACAGCGTGGACACGTACACTCACCTATAATAGCGTGGACACGTACACTCACCTATAATAGCGTGGACACGTACACTCACCTATAATAGCGTGGACACGTACACTCACCTATAATAGCGTGGACACGTACAGACTCACCTATAATGCGTGGAACAGTACGATCACCTATAACAGGGGTGGACACGTACAGACACTCACCTACAATAGTGTGGACACGTACACTCACCTATAATAGCGTGGACACGTACAGAGTCACCTATAAAAGCGTGGACACGTACACTCACCTATAATAGCGTGGACACGTACAGACACTCACCTATAATAGCGTGAACACGTACAGACTCACCTATAATAGCGTGGGACACGTACAGACACTCACCTATAATAGCGTGGACACGTACAGACACTCGCCTATAAAAGCGTGGACACGTACACTCACCTATAAAAGCGTGAACACGTACAGAGTCACCTATAATAGTGTGGACACGTTACAAAACTCCCCTATAATGGGCTTTAGACACGTACAGACACTCACCTATAATAGCGTGAACGTACAGATCACCTATAATTTAGCGTGGACACGTACGGGACTCACCTATAATAGCGTGGGACACGTACAGACACTCCCCTACAAAAAAATAGCGTGGACAGTAACAGATCACCTTAATAGCGTGAACGTTTTACACTCACATATAATAGCGTGGACACGTACAGACTCACCTATAATAGCGTGGACACGTACAGATACTAAACTTTTATAGCGTGGAAAACGTACAGACTCCCTAAATAGCGTGGACACGTACAGACCCCACCAAATTTAAAGCGTGGACACGTGGGGGGAATGCTTATAAACCATACGTATTATAGGTGAGTCGTAGTGTCACGCTATTTAATAGGCGAGTTCTGTACGTGTCCACGCTATTATAGGTGAGTCTGTACATGTCCATGCTATTATAGGTGAGTCTGTACATGTCCACGCTATTATAGGGGAGTCTGTACATGTCCATGGTATTATAGGCGAGTCTACATGACTCAAGAAATCGTAATGACACGGTTGCAAATAACCATACCCCCGACCGGGTTTGGGACCCGCGGGTCTTTAGTCTCAAAACTCCAGCCCGTCGCGTTAGCCACTAGACCAGCTAGCCACAACAAGATTCATCCAACTAGGTATATTTCTACACCATAGGAAAGTTAGCACAGGCACCTCTGTGACCACAAATGCAAGTTTTTACAGACGAATCTCCAGCTAGCGTGGCCGTGACGAAATCTAGCTCAAGTCCCTTATGCCGTTTAACAGACTCAAGAAAACGTAATGTCAAGAGGGCTGTGGGTAACTTTCCTATGGTGTAAAATATCCTAGTTGGATGAATTTATTGTGGCTAGTGGGCTAGGGCTAACGCGACGGGCTGGAGTTTTGAGCTCTATGACAGGGGTTCAATCCCGGTCGGGGGTATGGTTTATTTGCAATCGTGTCATTACGATTTCTTGAGTCATGTAGACTCGCCTATAATACCATGGACATGTACAGACTCCCTATAATAGCGTGGGGCAGTACAGGACTCACTATAATTGCGTGGACCGTCAGATCGCCTTATTGCGTGGACACGTACAGCATCCCTATAATAGCGTGGAAGTACAGACTCACCTATAATTGCGGGGGCACATACAGACTTTACCTATAATAGATGGACCCTACGGACTCACCCTTTTAAAAGCGTGGATGTACAGATCACCTATAATAGCGTGGCATGTTTCAGACTCACCTTTTTAATAGCGTGGACACGTACAGACACTCACCTATAATAGCGTGGACACGTACAGACTCGCCTATAATTGCATGGACACGTACAGACTCACCTATAATAGCATGGACACGTACGGACTCACCTATAATAGCGTGGACATGTACAGACTCACCTATAATAGCGTGGACATGTACAGACTCACCTATAACAGCGTGGACACGTACAGACACTCATCTATAATAGCGTGGACACGTACAGACTCACCTATAATAGCGTGGACACATACACTCACCTATAATAGCGTGGACACGTACAGACTCACCTATAATAGCGTGGACACGTACAGACTCACCTATAATAGCGTGGACACGTACAGTCACCTATATTTGCGTGGCAGTACGACTCACTTAATGGCGTGGACACGTAAGACTACCCATAATAGGTGGAAGACAGACATGACCCTTTAAATAAAAAAAAAAAAACCCCCAAAAAAAAAAAAAAAAAAAAAAAAAAAAACCAAAAAAAAAAAAAAAAAAAAAAATAAAAAAAATAGCGTGGACCGTAAAATCCCTATAATAGGTGGACGACAGACTCACCTAATTGAATGGAACGTACAAACTCCCTATAATAGCTGGACACGTCACCCAAAAATACAGACCTCCCTATAATACGTGGCATGTACGAACCTATAATGGTGGACAGTACAGACTCCCATAATAGGGGGGGAACGTACAGACACTCACTATAATAGCGGGACACTCAGCTCACCTTAAAAGGTGGACACGTACAGACTCACCCATAAAAGCGGGGGGGCAGTACGACTGCCTATAAAAGCTGGGCAGTACAGACTTCCCTTAAATAGCGTGGCAGTAAAGACTCCCTATTAGTGGACCCCGTACGGGGGCACTATAATGCGGGCAGTACAGACTCCCTATAATAGCGTGGACAGTACGACTCACCTATAAAAACGTGGGACCCCTTTTAAAGGGGGCCACTTTACCTATAATAGCGGGGGAGTACAGACACCCTTAATAGCTTGACACGTAAGAAATCACCTTAAAAGCGGGACACGTACAGACTCACCCATAATAGCTGGACACGTACGGACTCACCTATAATAGCGTGGACAGTAAGACTTTTTTTAAAACCTATAATACATGGCAGTACGGATCACCTTAAAAACGTGGACAGTACAGATCACCTATAATAGCGTGGACAGTACAGATCACCTTAAAGCGTGGAAGTACAGACACTCACTATAATGCGTGGACACGTAAGACCACCTATAATAGCGGGACAATTTCATCACCTATAAAAGCGTGGGCACGTACAGGGCTCACCCATAATAGCGGGACAGTCGACTCCCCATAATGCTGGGGCAGTACAGACTCACCTATAAAGCTGGACACGTACGACTCACCTTAATAGCGGGACTACGACTCACCTTAATAGCGTGGACATTTTCAGAATGACCTTAAAACGGGACACGTAAGACTCACATAAAGCGGGACACGTACAAATCACCTTAATTTTGGTGGAAAATACAAAATCCCTATAATGGGGGACACGTAAGACTCCCTTAAAACCGTGGCAGTACAGATACCCATAAAAGGTGGACACGTAAGACTCCCCATAATAGCGTGGACACGTACAAACCCCTATAATAGCGTGGACGTAAGATCACCTTTTAAGCTGGACACGTCAGACTACCTATAAAAGCTGGGAAAGTAAGGGTCCCTATAAAAGCGTGGACAGTACGACTCACCCTTTTTGGTGGAAGTACAAAACCCTATAAAAGGTGGAACGTACAGACTTTAATACGGGGACAGTACGAAAACACTTAATGCGTGGCACGTAAGACTCCCTATAAAAGCGTGGACACTACAGACACTCACCCCTAATAGCGGGGGACACGTTAAACAAAAATCAACCCCATAATGCTGG